CTGGTGTGAGGGCCCCCCCCCCCCCCAGTGCACAAATTTTTGTGCAACCAGGCCTCAGTTAAATAAATAAAAATGCTGACTTTTTTTTAAAAAGTCAAATTATATTTTAAAACTTTTAAAGAAAGTTGTACCTTGAACTTTATTTTAGTAGAATTTTATTCTATTGTATATCACTCAAATGCAAACAATATCTCACAGCTTGGGCATTAAATTAGTTATGTGACAAATTTCATGCTGTAGTAGCTACTGTGATGGAATTCTTTTCACAACCAACATTAATTGAGGGTCTAAGTCTATGCCAGGCCCTGGACCTAGGTCCAGGGATAAAAATGTGGTTCCCTACTCACGAAGCATATAGCACAGTAAAGAAACCTATATTTAGAAGGAACATTTTATTGATATTATACTTACTGATAAACTTGTTTTGCATAGTCTCCAGCAGAGCTTGGTGAGCATCCTCAGCCTGTAAAGCGTGTGAACATTCTCTAGCCAGTATGGTGCGTACAAGATGCTCCCCACATCCTAGAAAGTGAAGGAAACCAAAATTGTTGAGGAAAAGCAGTAGTAAGCATCTGTCTTGTGTTACGAGCATTAAAACACCCTTATGCACTTCTTAAGAAGTAGCTGTGCTGGAGAATAATTCAGTGATGGATGAAATGATTTCTATGAGCAATCTAGTCATTTTAGTAATGAGATTTGGCAGAAACTAGAGAAACACATGACTGTCTAATCTCAAAAGAAAACAAACACACACACAAAAACAGCAAAATCTTTTTCATAGGAATGATTTGTACAATACAAGAATTTAGATTCTCTGCCTAGGAATCTCCTAGGGGTCTGTTACATTTCCATGGTTGGGTAACTACAGAAAAAAACTCTGCTCTATAATTTCTTTATCTGTTTACATTCCATTAACCCTGGTCTCCTATTTCCCTCTCGTTCCCCACACACCTGGTAGCCTGGGGAAATATGAATCAGCCAGGACCAATCTGAATATCCCCCTCCCTACTTTTCACTGAAATGTTCACCACACATCAACAGCTGTAAAGTGGGCTTAATAAAACAGCACCTTTCTCATCTTCTTATGGCAATTTATGTAGCTTTCAAGGGTGAATACTCTCTGTAGTTCTAAAGAAAGAGTGCGTTTTAACCCCCTGAGTTGAATTTGACCCTTCAGACGCACTTTAAAAAGGGTAGGCATGGTGGTGATGGGCACTGCCTAGAATCTGATTATAGTCTCTACCTGTTAAAAGTAGAAACTGCCTATAAAAATAGAGACAAAGGAAATTTAATTTATAGGCTGTTAAGTTCAAATAAAAGATTGCTAAAGAAAGAGCCTGATTTTTTTCTTAGAAATAAAAAATGTAAAAAAAGCTACTCTGACAGACATTGGAGAGGTAAGCCTTTCTTAAAATATAGTAAATGATATTTCAAATGCTTTTTTATATATGAAATCAATTTCACTATTAAAATTACAGGGTCCTCTTATTCAAGTGAGAAGGGTAGAAACACAAGGTTTTTCTTAAAAACTTTTTTCCATTCAAAATGATTCCTCTCCCCAATGGAACAGAAGTCCCCATCTCTTAAAAAAAAAATCCTGCCAAAGGTGTTCTGTTAGTTCATTAGAAAATCAAGTCCTCCATTAATTCACACAACAGGGAAAGGGTATCAAATGATCTAAGCATCTACTGAGACTAAAATATGACTCAACCCTATCATCAAAAACAATCACAGCAGCCCTAACCGGTTTGGCTCAGTGGATAGAGCGTCAGCCTGTGGACTGAGGGGTCCCAGGTTCAATTCCGGCTAAGGGCATGTACCTTGGTTGTGGGCACATCCCCAGTGGGAGGTGTGCAGGAAGCAGCTGATCGATATTTCTCTCTCATCAATGTTTCTAACTCTCTATCCCTCTCCCTTCCTCTCTGTGAAAAATCAATAAAATATATTTAAAAAGAAACCAATCATAGCAAAAAAAAAATAAGCATCTCCAGGATCCACTCAGTTTCTCCAATGGACCAGGGACACAGTAACTTTGTTTCATGTCATTAATTTGCACACAGATATGTGCATGCACACACACTACACTGGTAAATGGAGAGGGCTGGTAATTAGCAATCCCAAAGAAATGTGGATGAAGATTATTAAATTAAATAACCTCTTTTAATTAATGCCTTAAAATTCTTAAATTCATGAAACTTAACCAACACAAACATATGATACACAGTTCTCTGTTCAGCTAGTATATATTATGACAGGCATTAGGCACTAACAACAAATCTCGCTAAAGATACAAGCTGTAATTGTTAAACCATGCTGGTACCTTTCATTTCAGAAGTATTTTCGTATATAGACTTCTCATTTCTCTCTCTCACCCTCTTCCCCCCTCTATACATACATGCACATATAAACACACATGTGTATATTACATATACACATATAATATAGGCTCATTGCCAAAAGTACAAACTGTTTAAAAAATACTAAGTTTTTAAAAAAACCATCTGATATTTTGCCTGAAAGAATTCCCCTATACTTTTTGGTAAAGTGGAAATGTAAATACCCTTCAAGATTTAAATATGTCGTTGTGAGTATCTACACTTATGGGAAGACTTAGGTATGCAATTTAATATATAACTTTGTAGGCATGATTATAGTGATTCCTGTTTGGTTAAATTTTTGCAATATTATTTTTATAATCATAAAAAAATGACAATAAAGCAAATAGAAACCATTTTTGACATTTACTATACTAAGCTCATGAAACTCCATAAATTTTAATTCCCTTTGTGTACATATCTGATGTTGAGCAGTGAAATGTTATACTTTAGAACAATAATAATTGTTAGGAAATTGGCATATTATAAGCTAAATGAGTGTTCAGAAGGTTATGTACACACACCTCGAGTCAAACAGCTAAACCACATGAAGTTAACATTACATCAAAAATACACAATATATGTCAGAGAGACTTTTTCCTCTGTTGTTCTACAGGAATAGCAAGCAGGGTTTCCCTGTGATTGACTTTACCAAGGAACTTTTAAAAATTATGACTACTATTCTGACATATATCACCTCCAACATAAGAGCCTTGACACCAAAAGCTTGTTCTCCTGCAGGTTCCAATCAAAGAAAAATTTGTCTTCTGTGGTTTTACCCACAAAATTCCAAGACTTCTTAAACATGATGCCATGTAGCTGATGTGTAATTCAATGGAAAACAGTTCCATTCTTTATTCAAAGATATTAGAAATAAGCCTTTCATTACATCCTCCTTTTGTCCTAACTCATGCAAGAGTGTATTTATGTTCTCAGATCTCAGCAGGAAATATGGATTATATATAGAATGAAGACCTAATACCTAACCTAGAAGAAAAGTACACACTTATTTAGCATCAATAAAAATGACAACTGAATGGATTGGAACACATAGTGAATTCATAACTTATGTTTTAAAAAGCTTTTGTTGGCCTGGCCAGGTGGCTCAGTTGGTTGGAGCATCATCCCATGCACTGAAGGGTCATGGGTTGGATGCTTGGTTAGGGCACATACCCAGGTTGCGGGATCAATCCCCAGTCAGGGAGCATAGAGGAGGCAACCAATTGATGTTTTTCTCTCTCTTTCTCCCTCTCCCTTCCTCTCTCTCTAGAATCAATGAAAAACATATCCTCAGGTGAGGATAAAAAAAAAAGCCTTAGTTACTTTTAGAGGATAATATGATACGGAACCAACTTACTCTTCTGAAAACTGGTAAGTAAAAACCCAAAATGAATTTCTCCGTAGCTCTTATAGGAACTATACAGCAGGGTAACCAAATAGTTTATGAAGAAAAATTTTCTCCATATAATTATCCCAGCTAATAAATAAAGAAGAAATTAACAGAATTAGAATATTACCATTTGTAATATTTAATGCAACGGTCATAACTGGCTGCTAATATCACAAAAAGATAAAACCAGAGAATACATATCTCTTGACAAAATTACAAGTTTACGGTGTCCCCCCCCACACACACTGAAAATATTACTAAATCTGATGAAACCTCCAAATTCAATGATCACTTTGCAGAAATACAGGGCATCAAGAAAAAGCTACAGTTAACATCAAACTTAATTGTGAAAGGTTGAATTGTTTCTCCCGAAGATCAGGAACAAGGCAATGATGTCTGCTTTTATCATTGCTATTCAACAATACACTAGAGGTTCCAGCCATCACAGTGGGCAAGAAAAAGAAATAAAAGGCTTAAAGATCAGAAAGGAAGAAGTAAAACTGCTCCGACTTGCAGATAATATAATTGTTTATGTAGAAAACTGCAGGGGAAATCAACAAAACAACTACTAGAGGTATCTCCCCAGATTCTTCCTATCTGGTTAGCAGCCTAGGGCAAAGTTCACAGCAGATACATGCCTGGTACTTACCACTACCCAAAATGTGGACCTGATTTTCACTTCCTCCACCCATTCATTCACCAGATTGTTACCAAGCACCTACTTGGTCCAGAATACACAGCAGTTGGCAGGGGTGCTGCTGCGTATTTCCAGATCTCCCCTGCTTGGCTACTGAGTACTCACTCAACTGTCACTGTGACCAATCCAGATGCCAGAGCCCTGTCTATGTATCCTACATGCCAACCTTAGGGATTTAGATGGTAACCCAGGACTCAGCAGGAACCTGGACATTCCCAGAGCCAGTCTCCAGGGCCAGGTGACCTGTTAACCTCAATTGTTGGCCCAGTCTCAGTAGACTCTCTCCCAGTGTGCTACCTGTTGCTGAGACCCTGGTATGTGCCACATCCAAAGACTTCAGAATTATAATAAACTTCCTCTCTTGTGGAGATCATTAACCTATCATGATCCACACTAAAGACAAACTCATAATAAAAAATTACAAACCATAAACACATATATACAAACACATACACACACACTCAGAAGGTAGAATGTACAGATGCAAAAATCAGAATGATCAAACCAAGAAGTAGTGATAACAGAACACTGGTTGGCAAACTGTTTCTGTAAAAAAAAAAAAAAAAAGATAAAGTAACTATTTTAGGCTTTGCAGACTACATTGGATCTCGGTCAAGTATTATGCTTCTTTTATTTTTGTAAGAACCTTTTGAAAGTTTAAAAATCATTCTTAATTCATGAGCTGTACAAGCATAGGCCATGGGCCTAATTTGATCCACAGATCACAGTTTGACCATTCTTGTAGTAGAACGATCTGTAGCACAAAGATAAGAAAAAGAAAGGAGATCATAATTTTAAAGAACAGAGCAATCTGGGAGCAGGAATCAAGAGAGGTATACAGTTTTTTCAAGGAACTAATTAAAACTTTTCAAATTAAAAAAATGTTTAAAACAATGCATGTAACAAGAATAAATGCAATTCAAGCAAGAGAACAAGATATATCAGTGGAAAACTAAAAAGCAGCCTAGAATGATAGGCTGAATGAAAGTGAGGAGTTAAGAAACCTAGAGTATAAAATGAGAATATCCAGCACATTAACAGGCATCCTGAAAGAGAGAAG